GCCATAACACAGCTGGTAAAAACACCGCAAACCTGACCAGATCATCTCTGCAAAGCTGCATTCTTAATCATTCAACCTGTGTTTTTCATCAAATTAGGATAAGATATAATCTTATTGGGAAATAAGTTTGACTAAAATTACAAATTGTTGGTTTTGGCTAGACTAGTTTGACTGAAATGTTCTATATAATCTGATGACTAAAAAAGACTCAAATGTCAACAGTTTTCATTAACAAAAAGTTTTCTTTTACTAAAATAAGATAAAATGCTCAGACTTTTAGTCGACTAAAACTTGATAAATAAAAACAGGATGAAGGTGACTAAATATGACTACAACTAACATTTGATACAGGACTAAGACTAAGACTAAATAAAAATAGCTGACAAAATTAACATTATTGTATTACTGTGTATTTACCAGCAGCTCCGATCAGCAGCAGCAGAGCCAGCAGTTTCATGGTGTCAGGTGAATGCTCAGAAGACACCTGCACACACCTCGGCTAAAATTTATATCCCAGCAGCCCCGCTGTGCTCGTCCCGTCCCCCTCACCTGACTGCCCCCCCCCTCCTCCTCCTCTCCTCTCCCCCCTATTTCTCTGGACCCAATCTGTGTCCTCACAGTCTTGGCACTTAGTTTCAAACCAAACGCACTTTCTTATCACACTCCTCATTTTGTGTTGCCCACTTCGGCCCAATCGTAGCACAATACCCTGTGGTTATGTCATCTGTGCCCCTTATTTAAAATGTGGACCATGGTCTCCAAACATGAAACACCTGCTTTTTGTTTCTCATGGGTCACTCATAGTGTTAGTTTTGTCAGCTATTTTTCATTTAGTCTTAGTCCTGTATAATTTGTCATTTTAGGCTACAATATCAAACAGTGAAAACTGTTATCTAACCGTCTTTTAGCTCTTGGCCCATAGGGGAGAAGGGGGTAAGTTGAGCCAGTGGGTAAATTGAACCACCCCCTGTAACCAGGCAACGCCTTATAGTTCTAATCACGTGACCAGAAATTATGCAAGCTCCTCCTATTTCTCATTGGCTGTGACAGAGAGATGCTCATTGTGGTCTGGTAAGTAAACATTTTACAAAAAAACGTTTTTTGCTTGTCAAAGTAAGTTTTCTAGATATCAGCTATATCGGCTGTCATGTCAAACTAAATGTATCCAGGTTTAAAAACATATATTGTATATGTTGATGTGTTGGCAGCGTATTAAACCGTGAGTCATTAAGCTAAAGATGACTGAATTTTTAAGCTAGGCTATTTTTTCTAAAATGGTAGCTATGTGGATAAGTGAACCATGGGCCTTGGGGTAAGTTGAGCCAGTGGTTCAATGGAGTAGCAGAATGAAAGTAGGCCCAGTTGATAATAAGAGCTCATTGTAGGTTACATTTAAAGTTGAATTTACCCTGTGTTTGATTGGTAAGATGTATGAAATTGTATCACCATTTGTATGATTACTTTTCCTTTTAACATGTTAAAAAAAAATCAATCAATTCAATCGAAATTTATATTAAAATATTTGAAAAACTAAACTTGTATTTGGTTTGTTATTTATTGTTTAAAGTTACCTTTAAGATTGTTGGTAGGTATGCCCAGGTTTAAACTGGAAAAAGTGAATTGGTCAATTTACCCAACAGTGGTTCAATATACCCCCTGACCTGGATCAACTTACCCCTAAACTGCGGCAAATTGGACCACTTTTTTTTTAGAAGTAATATTTTCACTGCCCTTGATCAAATATTAATTCTTATCATTGCCATTGATATGAGACATCCTGAATTATAGGTGTGTGCTTTCATTTTACTATGTGTCATTTCTCCTTGCTTAGAGGACATCATAACTAAAAAATGGCTCAACTTACCCCACTCTCCCCTATAGCAGAACAAAAGATGTAATTGAGTAAAAGCCAGAGAGGTGAGAAATAAATCATCTGTTGTCTCTGAAACCTAAAACAACCTGTTTTTCGGTTTCTGTGTCAGACAGCAATCAACACCCTTTAAGCTTAAACATTTTGTGCTTTTGTAGATACACGTTGAGCTGTAAATTGTAATGCACATGCAATGATGGTAACTGGACAGACTGAATATGGAAAAACAGACATATTGTTGAAATTGCACCAACAATATAACCTCAGGCTGTTTATCATCTGTTTTGCAAAGGCATTTATTTTGACCATTTTCAGAATATTAATGCACTTCTTTAGGCCTACACTAAAATAAGGGAAACATTTGGAGGTGTTGTTATTTATCATGCAATCGTTTTACTCGTCCACGCCTTGAGATCAAATCGGGATGAATGTGGCTCGTGAACAAAAAAGTGTTTAACAAAGCTGCTCTCTGCTCTTACGTTCCACCATTATGAAATAAAAAATGTCTGCAAAAAAAAGGGAGTTACACACACTTAAAAATAGCCCCATTTATTTAGGTGGTAGGTGCAGAAAATATCTGTCAAAAACAGAGTAAAGGAAGCAGTCTGCAAGGCCAAAACTATGCAAGATGTGGCTCACTTATTAACTGAACGGATGAACGTGGCACATAAGAAGATAAGGTTATTTTTCAGGGATTTGGGTGGGAGGATAAACCAGGGGGGGCAGGTGGGTAGAATTGGGTGGAGGTATGGAGGAGTGGAGTAGGAGGGAGTTTATTGACAGATACAGAGGGTATAAATTGAGTGAGTGACAGATCTTTCACCTCCAGTCTGGTCGCAGGAAGGTTTGAGTAATGATGATTGGCCTGATTGTTCTCGCACTCCTGGGCGCTGCAGGTAAAGCACATCTGCACAACAATTTTAGAATAAGTAAGAAATGTAACTTTGATAAATATATGGATTCTTGTTATTGCTTAATACCACAGCTGCAGCACCTATGGATGACAAGATTGTGGGTGGATTCGAGTGTACAGCCCACTCTCAGCCCTGGCAGGTGTCTATCAATCTCAGCTACCACTACTGCGGCGGCTCCCTCATCAACGACCAGTGGATCATCTCTGCTGCCCACTGCTGGCAAAAGTCGGTGTTGTCAGAATCAGACATCCTTTATTCGTCCCACAGTGGGGAGATGTACAGTGTTAGGGCAAAGGGACTGTGCAGACAAAAACATAAATAGGATTAGGAGTAACATATTAAAAAAGAGGCGTTAATAAAAGGATATCGAATAAGTAAACATCCATGGAACAAAAACAGATAGCAGGATTAGTGAACGTGTAAAGTAATGAGGTAGCAGCAGGGGAAAACATTAGTAGTGTAAAAAGTGTATATTGCACATAGGACAAACATCTCTTCAACAGTAGTGAAACAGTCTGAGGTAGTGAGGTGGCGTAAAATAGTAAATATTGCACATACAGTAAGTGTTATTGCAGAGCAGTGTGTTAGAGTCCGTATAATTGAGTGGTACAGTCTGACCGCTGCAGGAAGTATTTATATTAACATATACAAATGTTTTTGTATGTTCTGTGTGTTAAATAAACTATGCTAATGTTGTTCTGTGTATCTTCTTTTAGCCCTTACTCACTTATTGCCATTTTGGGTGACAACCACATCTGGATGAACGAGGGCACGGAGCAGTTCATGTCCGTGGACGCCATCTACTGGCATCAGAGCTACGACTACCAGACCCTGGACTACGACATCATGCTGATGAAGCTGGCGCACCCCGTCACCGTGAACCAGTATGTGAAGCCCGTCGCTCTGCCCAAGGACTGCCCTGCAGCCGGGGACATGTGCATGGTGTCCGGATGGGGAAACATACACTGATCAAGGCAACCCGTGACGATTTTACCATGCTGAGAGACGTGAAGATGTCACAATTTCGTCCTTCAAACGTGACAGTTACACGGTATAGTTAACATGGTCCAACCAGTGGAGATATTACCCGGAAATGCCAAGCAAATGCTACCCCGACGGTCGGTTGTTATTGTCAATATAATATAATAATGATTTATTTTTTATAGTCACAGTCGATTTCGCCGATTTTCTTGTTTGCCCCCAGCTGTCGACACCTCTTTTAGCAGAAACAAAGGCTACATTAATGTATTAAATCGATGTTAATCCATGTGTGTGGATGTGGAATTAACGGACGTGACGTTGTGCGATTGCGTTGCCAGGCAACAGCTTCGGTTCATGTTAATTTACAAACTCTTCAAACTAGAACTGTAGTTATATTTAAAAACATTTTAGAAGGCCTCACGAAATACTTTAATGTAAATTTAAATTAAATGGGAAGGAATATGTGTATAACAAAATACATCGTCATAAAAAATACCGGAAACAGACGTAGGCAAGGTCCTCAGCTCGGTGATTCGATGGTTTAATGCACGTTGGGAAATGGTTGTTTATTCGATGTGAAATCCTAAAACATTTTTTTAAAAAATAAAATAATGCTTTATTCCGAGTGTGCTTGCTTTTCTCTTTGAAAGTCATCACATAACGGCATTGTAATACACGGTTCGGCTGCATTAAATATTACATATCTGCCGTAGTCTCTATTTATAGAGCCCTGATGAGAAGACTTCTAGACAAACAGGAAGCACTGCCGCCAAAACTGAAAACGTGACGTGGATCATAATATATATCAGCAAATAAACAACATCTTACATTTCTTTTCACACAATACGTCTCCTTGCAGTATCAATACTAATTCGGCTGACTTTTATATTTGATCCAATTGGTAGATAGGTTATATTTACACCATAACGGTGCACAGCTGATATAAAAGGACTTGTAGTTTTTAAAGATATTACTGATTTTCTTTGAATATAAAAATGTAAATACTGAGTTGAGAGAATAGTCAGGGGATTTGGGTGATGGGAGACACATCTATGGATGCAGAATGTCAATAGCTTACTGTTAAATGACGGATATACCTTTCTGTCTGTGATGTTTTACAAATCAGATATTAGAAGTAAAACATGAGAAATAATATAGCAATATCCTGTACAATTATGTGAAAACATGAATAAAACTACACATCTTCAGATGTTATACATACACAAGTGTCCTACACTAATAATTAGGGCTGTCAGTCGATTAAAATATTTAATCGCGATGTAATCGCATGATTGTCCATAGTTTAATCGCGATTAATCGCAAATTAATCGCACATTTTTTATCTGTTCTAAAATGTACCTTAGAGGGATATCTTTCAAGTTTTTAATACTCTTATCAACATATGAGTGGACACATATGCTTTATATGTTTGTTATATTATCATTTGAACAATGACAAATATTCTCATGAATATTAAACACAACAACCTCTGAACATTACAAATATTCACCTCAATTCACCTGGAACCTCTCTCATACAAATAATACTGTGTGTGTGTGTGTGTGTGTGTGTGTGTGTGTGTGTTGTGTGTGTGTGTGTGTGTGTGTGTGTGTGTGTGTGTGTGTGTGTGTGTGTGTGTGTGTGTGTGTGTGTGTGTGTGTGTGTGTGTGTGTGTGTGTGTGTGTAGAACACTGTGTGGAGACACTGTGTGGAGACACTGTGATGGATCTATGGAGCTATGTGCAGCTCAAGGCATATATGCTTCAACGGGAGCTGCCTGGACGCTGCAATCATGTTGCGCGCACTATCCGTGCTGACTGTGCTGACTTTTCGTACAATGTCCCACTGTCTGGCTACCTGCATAAAGTCAAGTGCTCGGCGCAGTTGTCGGCGAAATGTCATTGAAACAGCTCCTTATATCCGTCAGCGCAGCTAGCTAGCACCAGATGCTAACCAACAACAACACGTAAGGTGTGCCTCGCTCGCGCGAGTCGCACCACACATACACACACCCTCCCGGTCCTCCCGATGGCCAGTCCGGGCCTGCCAGTGAGCGTGGTAGTGTGGTCTGCCACAAGCGGGTGGGCAGGAGCGGGGCTGTCAGCATCAGCTTGTCGATGGTATTTTACACTCGATGCACTCTGAAACTACGGCGGCCGAGGACAAAAAATACACATGCGTTAATCGCGCTAAAATAATTAGTGGCGTTAATTTTTTTTTTGCGTTAACGTGTTATTAACGCGTTAACTTGACAGCCCTACTAATAATACAAAGTTATTATGGCTGTGTGTACCTTGTGTGCACCCGCCTAGTGGTTAAGCACGTTATTGAATTAGTTGTGTATATGATATGTCAATGAACCTTAGAAAATCTTGAAATCTTGAATAGCCCATTATATACAGTCTTTAATTAACTATTAGTAGAGAATAACGAGTCATTCATATACTTTATAGGGATCTGCAGATAAATGTTTAGTCTTCTCAAGCAGCAACTATCAAATATCTCTCCTGATTGTTGGCACTTGACAATCACCTTTCCCTGAATTTACTCAGGTGTAACTAAAGCCTGATTTAAGGGTTGTTTATATTTCACATCATTAATCAGAATCTGCAAAGTAACTAAAATAAATGTAGTGGAGTAAAAATACCAGGTTAACCTCTGAATTGTAGTGGAGTAGAATTGCTGTTTTGTTTAGTAATGGATATTGAATATGGAATAAAGGTTTTGACAAGACCTGGTGTAACAATAATCAAAAAAGGACATTAAAAGAGCTCCAGATGTTAATGATCTAAACAAAACAGCACACCTGAATGTATATTTAAAATACTTTATTAAGGGCAGTGAATTCGTTTTTTCTGTATGTTTTTCAAATCAGTATTATACAGTAAGTGTCATAGACAGTGTTACATTGCTATTATTATCCTTAAAATATATGTAAAACAAAACCACTTATGATCTTTTTATTTGAGTGGTTTACTAATGACAGTTAATTCTGTTTCTGCTATTGATGGTTTAATTTTTGTGAAAAATAATAAAATAATAAATTCAATAACGTGCTTTAACCACTAGATGTGCCTTTCTATCAGCTGTGCACCGTTATGGTGTAAATACAGCCTATCTACCAATTGGATCAAATATAAAAGTCAACCGAATTATTATTGATACTGCAAGGAGACGTATTGTGTGAAAAGAAATCTAAGATGTTGTTTAATTGCTGATATATTTATGATCCATGTCACGTTTTCAGTTTTGGCGGCAGTGCTTCCTGTTTGTCCAGAAGTCTTCTCATCAGGGCTCTATAAATAGAGAACTACGGCAGATATGTAATATTTAATGCAGCCGAACCGTGTATTACAATGCCGTTATGTGATGACTTTCAAAGAGAAAAGCAAGCACACTACGGAATAAAGTATTATTTTATTTTTTCGGATTTCACATCGCATAAACACACCATTTCCCAACGTGCATTGCGGCTAACCATCGAATCAACCGAGCTGAGGACCTTGCCTACGTCTGTTTCCGGTATTTTTTATGACGAATGTATTGTGTTATACACACATTCCTTCACATTTAAATTTGAATTTACATTAAAGTATTTCGTGAGGCCTTCTAAAATGTTTTTAAATATAACTACGGTTCTAGTTGAAGAGTTTGTAATTAACATGAACCGAAGCTGTTGCCTGGCAACGCAATCGCACAACGTCACGTCCGTTAATTCCACATCCACACACATGGATTAACATCAATTTAATACATTAATGTAGCCTTTGTTTCTGCTAAAAGAGGTGTCGACCAGCTGGGGCAACAAGAAAATCGGCGAAATCGAGTGTGACTATTAAAAAATAAATCATTATTATATTAATATTGACAATAACAACCGACCCTCAGGGTAGCATTTGCTTGGCATTTCCGGGTATATCTCCACTGGTTGGACCATGTTAACAATACCGTGTAACTGTCACGTTTGAAGGGACAAAATCGTGACATCTTCACGTCTCCCAGCATGGTAAATCGTCACATGTTCACGTCTTGCCGTGATACCGGATTGGATCAAGGTGAGGTGTGCCTGATCGTCCCATTAAAGGTCATCAATATGTCATGGTACAATCATTTTTATTCTTTTGTGATCCTATTGTTTGTCTTTGCTGTGGTTGAGATCACAGCAAGAAAAAAAAACGTGATCAAATATTACACTCATGGCCTTCCATTGATTTAAAACGTCATAACAAAAGCCTTTAATAAATAATTGAGTATTGCTAAAGTAGTATCTTAACTGCTGTTATCAACAAAAAAATAGTTTAAGTGGACTACCTCACTTCCAACAGACCACCACGCTTAGCTACTGGCGCTAAAGATGATAAAACCTTTATGAAATTAAAAATGAAGAAAAACAACTTGATAAAATATTGCACCCATGGCCTTCCATAGGTTTAAATCGTAATATCACAAAAGCCTTTAATAAACCATTGAGTATTGATAACAGTAGTTTCTTAACTGCTGTTAATTCATCTACCTCGGATGCAACAGACCACCATAGCTACTGGCGCACAAACCTATAAAACCTTTATGAAATAAAACATGTACCAAGAGGAAAAAAGATAATAGTAAGCAATCATCTAATGCTTAAGACTGTCTCATAAGAATGTATTTGAGAGCAACGTGATGTATACAGTTTGCTTGAGGACTAACAGAATATTGTAGCTCACCCTAAGATGAGAGGAAACATTAAAGCACATTTCCCTACTGTTCAAAAGGATTCGCCAAGCTTTTATAATGGCTGCTGGATCCTTTCCCTCAGTTAGGAACCATCCTAAAAGCGAGTGAAGCCAAAGCTCGCCAGGCTTGTCCTACCTAGTTATGGTTCCTGTAGTATGATGGCAGATTATTTAAAACTAATACAGTAGATGATGATGTTGGCCATTTAAGGTAAACATATTGACAGAAAACATGTAATTTGATGAATCAAGCTGGAAAAGAGTGATACTATATACAGTACAATCAATAATGCATGTTTCTGATAGTCTGGAGTCACTAATACATCGGTGCATTTTAACACATGATATAAGGCTGAATTGGGGTGTTTTTTGTGTCCCTCCTAATCATTTTGTCTCGCTCTTATCTGCAGTGTTCAACCCATTTTACCTCCAGTGTGTGGAAGTCCCCATCTTTTCTCACAAGGACTGTGATGGCTCCTACCCCGGCCTGATCACTGACCGCATGATGTGCGCTGGATACCTGGAGGGAGGCAAGGATGCTTGTCAGGTATTTTCAAACAATTACACGGCACATACAATGAGGTTATATTGAATGAGGTGGAGGGAATAAACTGACGTCTCTCTCCTGCTCAGGGTGACTCTGGTGGTCCTCTGGTGTGTAACGGAGAGCTGCAGGGTGTCGTGTCCTGGGGCCAGGGATGCGCTCAACCCAACTACTCAGGCGTTTACACCAAAGTCTGCTCTTTGATGCCTTGGATCAAAGATATTCTCTCCACATACTCCTAGGCTGTGATCTCCCATCACAGAACTACAGGTGAGGGGAAATCAGAGGGAGATTGAAATTGAAAGAGACAGGAGGCGGCGGTGGGAAGTGTCGAAGAGAGAGGCTGAGAGTGAGACACAAGGAGAAGCCGAGGGAGAAAGAAAACAACATGCGAGATGTGAGATGTCAAGGCTCAATCAATACAAAATGTAACATTTTGTGATGCAACAGTGTGTTTATTATTGTCTATCTACTCCCAGTGTAGATGTACTGTTTTATGAGTACTGGATTTCAATTTAGGGGTGACATTTCCAACACAAAACAAATATACACCACAGTCAAACAAGAACAGCTAATGTCAATAAACAGAAACATTTCACAAAATTGCGTTAGCTTGAGGGCAAATGAAGTGGCAACCCTTGGTTTTGAAAAGATAAGCTAACTAAATGTTCATTATCTCAATTTGTTTTAAACATTTTCCTAACGAGTTTGTAGTTTCAAAACACATTTTTAATGTACAGCAAGATGTTCCTTTAGTAATCTATGGTCCCATTTACAGTACATAGACAATAAAGGACGTGCATGGCTTCCTCTCCATGTTTATTCCTAAGACTTTAATAACTTTTACAGTGTTTTATTTAGTTAATTAAGGTGTATTGAAAAATGTCTTGTTTCAGTGTTGGGTTATACTTAGCTTCAGCCTCTCGTGTCATATCTGGTTCCAAACAAACTACATGTCAATAGTCCAAATGCCAAACTCAAGGCTTATTCTGCAATCCACTGACTTCACAGTGATTATGTCCAATTCTTATCTAAAGTGTATTGTGCTTTTCCTTAAACACACATTGCCAAACAATCTCTCAATAATATTTCCATCACAATAAGACACACAAACTGTAGCTTTTACCAGTTAACCTCTGCATAGATACGGGCAATCTGAGAAGTCTTGTCAACTACAAACATTGACACGGCCCTTCATAGATAACAGTGTCTCCCACACACAAAACACATGCAACACACAAACACAAAAAACACGCACAAACACACAACAAACTGTGACTCTAAATGACAGTTTGTGATTTTAAGGCAGTGAAACTAGGCAGTTTTTTTTATACCATAACTGATTTTTGCCTAATTCTCTCACCAAGGTACTGAAAGATACAATTATAATAAGTACTTTGTCTGAATAGATGTTCTTTAAGAATGTGACTCTAAATGGTTAGCTTGTGATTTTATCACTTTTTCAGTAAGACAATCCAGTATTTTGTTAACATCAATGATTTTTTGTGTTTACTAAGGTACTTTCAGTTACATTTTGATGTATGTAAAACTTTACATCTGTTAGAATATGAAGTACTTTGTAAGGAATGGGGTTTCCAGTTTGTGATTTTAAGGCAGTGTAACTAGGCAGTTTTATTTTTGATACATTTACTGATTTTTGCTTAATTCTCTCACCAAGGTACTGAAAGATACACTTGTATGTATGCATGCAAAACCTTAAAACTAGAAAAAATAAGTACTTAGTCTGAATAGATGTTCTTTAGGAATATGACTCTTAAAGCACTTTTTTTGATAACTTTAGTGATTTGTTGCTGACTGATTCTATAATTTAGGGTGCATTTCACATCAACAAAACAGTACAAAGAAAGTGTTCTTTCTCAATAGAACAATCAGTGGTTCAAGTTAGTATATTCCTCAGTGTAACATATCCACTAGTTGCAAAGCTTAAACATTTTTTTTTTAAATTTTATTTTAAGGGAAAGGATGTTTTCACTACTCAGTTTGTCAACTATGTTACGGACTAACTTGATGTCATTACAATCATTTGATTAAGTCCTGCACTTCAAGTAAAATCAAATTTGAAAGGCTCTTGAGTCTATTCTACCATATATCCAAAGATTTTTTAAAGTTTAAAAAATAATTGTATTAAAGTTTTGTTTTTTCATGTGATATGTTCAGCACTGTCATTAAGTTTAGGGATATTTTGTATTATACAACTACCATATAGGTCATTTTGATAGTTTTAAGAGATGTCATGTAAAACTCCAACCTGTGTAGATATACATTATACTATAAAGGATATCAGAAGCACTATTTTAGATATTTTAAATTTGAAAAAATTAGGTGCAACATAGTTGACAATGAAAGTCAAACATTTGACGCAAATAACATAGTTGACTGGACACATTATTAACCATCAGCACTATGTTCATTTCAAGGCAGAAGTGCACAATTCAATTGATAATGATGTGTAATGACGTCTACATGTCATACAAATTGTCAACTAGGTTACCTGTCAACTAAGTTACTACAGTTATTACAGTACTGGGTAACTTAGTTGACAGGTAACCTAGTCAACAATTTCCCTATTTTGACCCATCATTTCAATGGTAGGCCTTGCCTGGATGATCACATGTCATTTTCTTGAACAGGTTAACATCACATTTGAACATATAATTGAATTAAAATCATTAAACAATTGTAAACCATAACAATGTACGTAACATTGTTGATGGTCAATTAATATACTCATTGACAATGTGCTATTATACATAAAATATTGTAAAAAATTAGAGGACAATCACCACAGTGTGTTCAAAATGTCTGCCAAAGAGGAACATGGCATCATGTGATGCTGGTGACATGGTATTGGGACTAACCATTTTTGAGTTAAAGGGGGGAGTTCTGTTAGTAACATAATTGACAGAACTTTTGCGGACATTCATATATTAAGATATTTAAATTATTTAAAGGAGGAAATCAACTAAAAATATGTTATTATTCTTTAGTATTTAGACTTTTGAAATAAATGAATACTTTTTTTAATTTACTTTAATGGTTTTTATTCATTATTTTGAAACCAAGACACCCTCAACTGAAAAACGGACATAGCAAAAACTGACAATTTAAGAACATCATGACACATTTCAAGCTAAACAAAGCATAGGATGCACATAATGTTTGTGTGATATTATAACATGCTTTCCAATAATAGGCAAAATACAGTGACGTGCGGTGAGGTTCATGGCTGGTGAGGCACTGACTCACTGAGTCAGATTTACAAATATTATATTTTGACCTTAATCGAAATATTCGGTTATTTTCAAAAGCTTTTTTTAGTCTGATGCTTCGATTCATTTTAAACAGACCGTTCAACAAAAGGATACCCAAAATCTAAATATTGGATTGTTCTTTCTAAGTAAGATCCCATTTTCATTACAAATGTGGTCTTACCTTGACTTGAAGATGAAGTCCATGCTATCCTTCTGGACAACAATCTCTATTACTTTTTTGTAAAAGTCCTCCTTATCTTCCTATAGTTTCAAAAGTCTAGTTTGTTGTTACGTCTACCGTCTCTGCGTAGAATTACAGTAGCAACAAGAACCTGTGGGCTCACGTGCGCCCCCTTCAGTACGGCAGAGGTTATGGCTGCCTCCCTTGGTGCTTTTTCATTGCCGTTGTATGATGAGACCAGCGAGCCTAAATATCATATACAAGTGAAATAAGTTATTTAGAGACTATGGATGGCGAGGATAAATGTAATAAAGGGATCTACAAACATTACATTGGTGACCTACAGTGAGATGGGAACAGGCATGCGCTTAGGGCCCACTTTCCAGACAGTTTCTGTGGGGTGATGCATTCTGAGGTGAGGCAGATCTCATCTGTGCCTCACCTCACCCCACAGTAAATGGCTTGAGCGCGCTCACAAAATAAGTGCCCGCGCTAAATTAGTGCCCGCGCTCCAGCAAGTTACTGTGGGCTTACGAGAGGCAGAGCACGTCCCTGCCTCACTTTTCATCGCTCCCGTAGCGGAGCTCGGCAAATTTGCTAATTTTGACTATAAAAAGCGATTAGAATCATACAGAAATCACATTTACACAAGATCAGTGGAGACATTTTATTATTATTACTATTTAGTTTTTCTTTAGTTGTTTTTCCGTTACATTGGAGTATGACAGGTGAGGCTCTGCCTCCCCTGCCTCCCCTGACTGCACGTCGCTGGCAAAATATGATATTTATGAAGAAAATAGTTAGAATAATTATAATTATCATCAATGGACATCAATGGACATGGAATGTACCCTAAATTGTAGAATCACTCTGCTGTTTTGTGTTAATAAGATACTTTCAGTTACATTTTTATGTTTGTAAAACTTTACATATGGTAGAATATGAAGTAATTTGTAAGGAACGGGGTTTCCTTAATGGCAGTTTGTGATTTTTAACACTTTTTCAGTGAAACATTGCAGTTTTCTTTTGATCATTTTACAGATTTCTTGCTGTTACTAAGATACTTTCAGTTACACCTTAATGTATGTAAAACTTTACAAACGGTAGAAATATAAAGTAACAGTGTTAGTGAAAATCGTTTCTTTACATGTCAATGTTTACCCCTTTAGTCTTATCAATGTTTTTGAGAGAACAGTGTATCCCATTGTCTGCCCACACACACATAAACACACATACAAACACACACTAGACCAGCGTTTCTCAAAGTGTGTGGCCCGCCCCACTGGTGGGGCTCAGAGATGTGATAGGTTGGTCGCAAATGGACGCGATGAACGGGAGATTATTTTTGTAATACATTTTTGGACCTCAGGCCGGAATCGAACCTGGGTCCTCGCGGACGAAAAACGGCCTAGTTTCACTGCCTTAAAATCACAAACTGTCCTTTAGAGTCACAGTTTGTGTGTGTGTTTTTTTTTGTGTAAGTGTTTTTTGTGTTTGTGTGTTGCATGTGTTTTGTGTGTGGGAGACACTGTTATCTCAAAAACATTGATAAGAGTAAAGGGGTAAACTGGGACTTGTAAATAAATTAACCCCCCTCCTTACCGTTCTCTGTCATGTTCAAGTCTGCACGAAATAGATTCTTCCTCTGTCTGTCTGCTGGAGTTTTTAAGGGGAACCTTCACTTTACACTTCATTGCTACAGAATATAATCTTATCAGTTTTAATGATATACTTCCTGCAGCCCCTATAGCTGCCTGCTTTAGATGCTATTGTAAAGTAATATATTTTCTAAACTAAACTTAAAACAAGCACTATTCTTGTGTGTGAGAAACCCTGAGGTCTACATTTTTTTTTGTTTTAAACAACACTGTGGACACCTTTCAGAGACATTGTCGCAGGTAAAAACTCAAAGCCCCCCCCCTCTGTGTTCATAGGTGCAGCAGGGTGGGAGGGAGGGAGGGGGAGGGGGGTGTGTGAGGGGATGTGGGAGGGTTTAGAGCTCTGACGTAGGTGCAGCAGGGTGGAGGAAGAAAAAAAAAGGAAGGGGGAGAAGGGAAACATTTTTTTTTAAATAAACTAGCAAAGATTACCCTTTTAACCCCATATTAACACATACAAGGTAAAAGTATTATTACCTACCTATACAACTTCAAAAGACATACTTAAATGTCATATAACCTTATATTACCACAAAAGAGTCAATAAGTAATATTAACCCACTATTAAAGAACATTACCTTATAGAGGGCATTAATACCACAACAGGTGACCGAAACAAGTCATACTATCATCATTGACTATAATGGCTTACTAG